GGAGGTAAAAATGAGGACAAAAAAAAAAAAAAAAAAATTAGACTGACATGTGTGTAACTGGTAAGGATCTTTCACGTATTAAATTGTTCCTTACGTGTTTCTTGTAGTATAGCATTTCTTTTTCATCTTAATTCTACGCCCTATCGGGTTTTTTAAAATCGTAAAACTGGTATGAATTTCTTTGTTCCAACCATCAGCTTGCGTTGCGGACGCGAATTTATGCAAGTTTTAGAGGAACAAAGTGAACCAGAAGAGCGTGAAAAATCACTAATCCTTTCCGTACTATTCTCATCAACCAATTTACATTGTTCTATTAATTTTGATATTAATAAATGATGCATTATTGAACGTATTCTACGTGAAATCTATTACTACTTAAGTTCAGTGGTACAGAAATAATACTAGCAGTTTTAATTCCGTGAAATATTTTTAATTAAAAATTTTTGCAATTACAGAGACCATTGTTTTGTGGTACAAGTGGAGGAGTGCATGTGAATGTTTACTTTCGCCATACGGGTTTTGCTAGTAACAGAGTGAAAAATCATCATTTTCTTCTACATTATTCTCTTTAATTATTGAATCTTTTATCCGAAAATTTTCGATTATTCTGAAAAGTTGGATACAAAACAGGGTAAGGAAGAGCGAAAATGCTCGGTAAATTAGTGAACAAATTCAAGAAACATTCACTACAAGAAGAAATAACAAGCAGTACTGGTTTACTCGGATCTGTTCCTAATAATGCTAATCCTGGAAATAACAGAATAACAACAACACTGCCAACTGGAACAATAATGGCAGTAGTTCCTCAGCAACCAAATCGTCGAAGTGCTCGAATAAGTGCACTTTACGAGGTTTTTTTTTTCGTATTCTTCAAAGTATTTTTGCATAGTTGACCTGAACTATAGTTGAAACATTCAGGACAATAGTGCGTTGGGGATGATTGACTCGGGAACCGAATCAGATGACGATGAATTAGAACAACTTGATTCCAGTAAGTTTTCTGATTAATTGATAAGCATTACGGTGAATGAGTTGAAGAAATGTGATTAGAAATATACGATTGATGCTGAGACACTTCTTTAATCAGTACAATTGCATTTCCTTATCTACATTATTTAGTTATATCAAAGTATAGTTGTATTCAAAAGTAATGGTTATACTCCATTTGTGTTGGCAATCTGCCTTACAGTTTTAAAGCTACTAATTTTGTCTTGAAATCGATTTTATCGTCAAAGTTTTTATACTTCCAAAGTAAGTAGAAGTAGCGAATTCCGCAGTGGAAAATGATAATTATGATGGAATTAAAACAAGACAAACTTAAGAAAAAGTTTTTAAAAAGCAATCACACCTTTTCCATTCCTCCTTCATCCTCTCACTCTTCTGATCAATTGCTTCAGGTGGAATATAACAATATTTGCAATAAGCATGATATACTGGATAAAAAAGAATCAGGACTGTTTAATTGTATCAAAGTGTATTAGTAATATATGGAGAATAATTCGGGTGTTTATGCAATCTATATATTGACTGTCTGTAAAGTGCTATCTGTTCAATTTAACTTGTTCAAAAACATCAGTAACATAATGAGAACTGACCGTTGCATATTTGGGTTATTTAACTTTCAAATTTGCACTTTTAATAGTCGCTTTCATGTTTGGAAATTCCAAATTTAACTCTTTTATACAGAAAGTGATAAGTAAATAAAGGTTTCATATTGACTCATTTTGACATCTCCATTTAATCGGGCTGATTGCTTGATATTCGGTAGGTATAGCAGAAGAGGAGATGGAATAAATACTGCTTTAATTAATGCAATTTCATTAGCATCTGATGCAATCCGGAACAATTACTTTGGACTTCTGCAAATCACTTATCACTCATAAGTTTAATTTGGTTAGCGGTGCAATGGTTGATATTGGAACCATCCAAGGTAATTAGATTGCCTAACGGATGAATAAATATGGGAGATTTCATAGGTTCAGATTGCTGGAGTTTTCCTCATCCC